GGTACGGGCAGGCTCTGTAGTGGAGCCGAAGAGTGCCCTGCGGGTTTAACCCGCTGACATGTTTCACATGTCTTGACGTACCGGGCGACCCACTTGTACATGTGGGTCCACCAGAAGGACTGAGAGACCGACAGAAAGGTCTTCTCGCGGCCCAAGTGGCCGCTGGAGGGCGCGTCATGCGCCTCCGCGAGGATGTCGAACTTCAGATCCTCGTCGTTGGGTACAACCACCCGTGGAGGATTAGTGGGCTCTACCCGATAATAGAGGAGGCCCTCCTTCAACTCATATCGGTGGAGCCGTGAGCGCTGTCGCGACGAGAGCCAGTCGGACTTCGCGCTCGTTCCGGCCTTAAGGAACTTGACGATAGGCGCGACAGCCTCATCGTCCCGATACGCCATGCGTATCCGATCATATAGATCCGTTGTCACCCGCGTGATGTGGGCCAACTCATAGTCGGGACGCCTAGAGAGGGCGTCCGCAAGCACGTTGAGCTTGCCCGGCTTGTACTCGACGCGGAAGTTATATTCCGCGAAGAAGGACAGCCACCTCGCCATCCGTTGGGAGAGGTGAGGCGAGTTAGTCGCCGTCCTCAAGGACGCGTGGTCTGTGTAGATCACAAAGGGCGTAGAGCCCAGAAGGTGAACACGGAACTTCACAAGGGCATATTTCATTGCCAGGAGCTCCTTGTCATGGACAGGGTAGTTCCGCTCGGCGGCTTTGAGCTGCCTGGACTGGAATGAGATGACTCGTTCCTGTCCAGCCGTGTCGTCCTGCAGCAATGCACACCCGATGGCGTAATCGGAGGCATTGCAGACGACGCTAAACGGCTTCGTCTCGTCCGGCAGAGCCAGGACAGGGGCCTCTTGGAGACTGGCCTTGATGCTGTCAAAAGCATCCTGGTGCTCTTGCTCCCAGCGCCAGTCGACGTCCTTCTGAAGGAGGCTCGACAAAGGCTTAGCGAAGCCCGCGTACCCAGCGCTGTACTTGTGAAGGTAGTTGGCCAAACCCAACCACTTTCGAAGATCCTTCTGGGATCGGGGCGTCGGCCATGCTGCTATGGCCTTGACCTTGACTGGAACAACCCGAAAGCCAACTTGCTTAAGAAAAAAAGGGAAATTTTTCGCCTGCTGAGCCGAAAAAGAAATAGCTTAGAGGCCATGGGGGGGGGGGGGGGGGGGTGGGGGGG